GTTTTTTTCTTTCAGTACTTTAAAGAAGCTTCCTCACTGCCTTTTTTGCTTGTTTTGAAATGAGAAATCTAATGTTTTCCATTTTTGATTTTTATGCATAACTTACCTCTTTTCCTCTGGCTGCTTTTATGATTTTTTTCTTTTACATTGGTTTTGAGCAGTTTCACTATGTTGTGCCATGGCATGGCTTTCTTCATAAGTCTTGTGCTTGGTTTGTTATCTTCCCACATCTGTGGATTTATAGTTTTCATCAGGTTTGGAGAGTTTTCGGCCATTATTTTTTCTGTCTTCCCCCTCTCCTTCGAGAAGTCCAGTGGCCCATTTTCAGACTGCTGGAAGTCGATCCCAGTGCATCGATGTCATTTTCATTTTTTTCCCATTCCTTTTTTCCTGTGTTTTATTTTTGATAACTTCTATTTTCATGCCTTTAATTTCACTCATCTTTTTTCTCAACATCTAATCTGTCATTAATCCCATCTGGTGTATTTTCATTTTAGTATTGTAGGTTCCATCTCTGGAAGTTTGATTTAGGTCATTTTTTTACATCTTTCATGTCTGTATCATTTGGATCATATGGAATGTACTTAAATGTTCTGCCTTGCTAATTATAACTTGTGTATCAGTTATGTGTTGAACCTCTATTGATTGTTTATTCTTCTCATTGTGGGCTTTTGCTTTACTTTTTTTCCTGTAATATTTGACTGGATGTCAGAAATTGTGAATTTTAACTTGTTGGCTGTAGAATATATTTTTTATAAATCTTCTTGAACTCTGGTCCGGAGCAGTTCTCAGTCTGGGCCTAATTACTCCCCATGACGAGAGAAGACTTTCCTGGGTACTCTGTCCGTTATCGCATGAGTTCTGAGTGTTCTGCATTCGGCCTCGGGGAACAGTCGCAGCGCCCAGCCTTGTGCCCCGGACGGTTCGCTCTAGTCCTTTCGGAGGCGCTCTTCCCGGGGCCTGGGGTAGTTTCCTCAAATGTGTGCCATTATCTGAGAGAGACTCTGGATGACCCTCTCTGTGTGGCTCTGTTCTCGGGTACCCTGGCCGGTGACCTATAGCTGCCTTCGTCGTCTCCAGATTTTTCACTCAGTTTCCACAACAGAGGGATCCTCTCAGGTTCTGCCTCCCTTTTCCCTCTTTGTGCCACGGCCTGGAAACTTGTTCAAAGCAACAGTAAACTGGGGCAGGCGTAGTGCTCACTTCCTCTGTTTCTCATTTCTTAGGGATCACTGTCTTTTGTTGCCTCAAGTCTAGTGTCTTAAAAACTGGTGTTTCATGTAATTTTGTCTGGTCTTTTAAATTTTATCTTATTGGATGTCTCTGATGGAAAGATAAATCTGGTCACTGTTATTCTATCTTGGCTGCAAGAAAAATTGTTCAATATACATTTTTAAGTGAAAAAAAATTTAGAATAGTAGAGTACAAACAAAATTGAAATGGGTTAATAAGGATAAAGAGACAATGGGATAGAGGCACTTTTTAAAGAAGTTTGAGAAGTACAGGGTGGGAGAGAGTTATGCTTTGAGTGCAGGGCAGAGAGAAGGAAATGTTTTTCATTTGCTTATTTAGTGACGGGGGAAGTTTTCAACATATTTAAGTGCAGGAGAAGGGACCAGTTGAGAGGAGACAACTGCCAGGGGAAGGGCCTAGAAGGTGGAGGGGAGAATGGAATCAGAAGCGCCTGTGTGGGAGTTATTAGCCTTGGAAAGGAGAAGAGGAACAGGGAAGTCAGCACTTCTTATGTGACATATAGCAAATACTTTACATGCTTTATGTTTAAGTTTGTCAGTAACTTTGTAGGACAAGTACCATTAACCTTTATTACAGGTGAGACAGGGTAGAAAGGTTAGGTAACTTAACCAGGCTATTCATCAGTGGGAAAGCCGTACCCAAAGCTCACGCTGTTTGTAGTGTTTTTTGTAGCCTCTCTGGACTGTTTCTTCGGGGCAGAGAGGGTGAACGCTGGTGAAGATTAAGGCTGTCGTTGGAGTAAAGGGAGAGAAGAGCCATGTAATCACTATGTTTATGTAGACTGTACTATAAAACTCATATCTAGTTTTATGGAGGAAAATGTAGGGAAAAAAGGCTGGTGCATACGTACCTGTGCAGAAGCATTACTAACATAGTTCAGTGAGAGCAGCGCCCCTCATTCTAGCTTGTCTCATTCCACATCTTGCTTCACAACTTGTAATGCAAACTTGTACTCTACTTTTTTACATCTTTATACACAATTAACAAGTTCAGTAACCAAGGGAAAAGAAAACTCAACTCATTGGGTACAATTAGAAGGTAAATGGTGTAAGAAGTGACCTTTGTTAATGTTTTAGTACTCTTTGCCTCTGTCACCCCATTTGAAAAAAATGCTATGCTTATGTAAGTATTAGATTGAACCATATTTAGGTGGTGTCAAAAGAGTTGGAGTATTGGCAGTTTCATGTGGTTCAGAATAAAAAGCAGTCATTTAACTACTGTTAGCACTATTAACAGGCTCATGTCTGTTTTATTTACCAGTGTTTGCTCAGTGCACAGTATCCGGCACATGCTAGTCATTCAATAAATGATTTGTGGGTGAAAAACTGTGTTTTTGAGGTTACATGTTATGTTTTGTAAAACATTTTGGTAAAGATTAGGAGCGATTCTCTTTGTATGAGGCTGTCAACTCAGTTGTTTTTTTTTTCTCTAAAGACTAAGAAGGATTTTTCAGCAAAGCTCTTTTATTTCCAATGCAAGATAATGTTAAATAATAAAATACTACCTTCTGAGCCCTCCGTCGGAGCCGCTCCTCTTCTCCGGCTGCGTCCGAGGCCCCCCGGAGGCTGGACGCTGCGCGCTGCCCGCCCCGGGAGGCTCAGTGAGGCAGCGCTGCGGGCCTCCCGCTCTCTGCACTGCTCGGCGTCCTGTCTCCCGTTTGATATCCAAGATGAATAACTTGGTATTTTTCTTTCCCATGCGGGGCGGAGGCAGCCTTTTTCTCTGCATTAACAGGACAATCCTGAAGAAACTGCAGCTGTCACCACGTTTCTAGTGTTACTGTTCGGGCGATTGTGGGGATGCACATTTACTGCGGTATCTAGTTTCATCCACACAGTGGTGCTAGAAAACCAAGAGTAGCTGTTTGTCCCCCTCCTAATCAGGAGAATGTGTTCCTAACTGTTCCTTATAAAATGAACACTAACTCGAGTCACAGAGTGATAACTTCGGCAGCCTCCATCGCGTCCATCGGGGAGTTACAATGATGTGTCCCCCGAAGAGCCGCTGCACCGCCGCTGTCCCGCACGCGGGTGACTGCGGGGCTCCCCCAGGGCCTTCCCGGACTTACCCTGCTGTACTCTCGTGTGTTTCCCGTGGTGTCCTTATAAGTCACCCTTTCACAAATTTGAATCTGGGCTTTTTTCTCCTGCTTAAAAAATTCTTACTATATTGTGTTTATAAACAAATATGAATAAAGACAAGGCCTTTCATGATTAGACTCCTGCGAAGTTCTCTAACTTGATGCATCTCTAAGCCTTTCCTTGTACACATCTATCTATTGCTCTGTTATTTCAGCCAGTTTGGCTGTCTTTTGGGTCTTTGAACACAAGTTTTTCCTCCTACTTTTGCCTGCTTTTCCTTCTGCCTGAGATAAAGGAGGTGTGTGTGTATATGCATCTTCGTATACTTCTTCTTAAGTTAGTTCAAGTGTAGCTTGAATCACATTTTTGAAAGCTTTTGTTAATCTCCCCAAGTAGATTAACTGCCGTTGTCATATGTTCTCACAGTACCCAGTTTTTTTTCTTAATACCATTTAATCATGTATTCACTTACGCGATTATTTAACTAATGTCCGTTTCCCCACTCGATCATGACTGTTAAGATATTACCTTCTATGCTCTTTGCTCATCATTATATCATAGGTGCCTATTAAAATATTTATTGAATGAATGAATGAATATAAGTCAGCCAGAACTCAAAGTAGGTAATAGACTTAGGAACAGGTGAGTATTCTGGAATAAAACTCCCAGTTAAGATATAGTAAGGTGAGTTTTATATTAAGGTAAGGTATTGGCCCAGCTTGGTCAACTTACATACTTCCTGGTGGAGCAGAAGTCACTGTAGGTCACAGGCAGCCCTGAACTGGAAGGGTTCCCATCTATATGGAAGGAAGGAGGAATGAGAGACAGAGAGCACTTTTTGCAGATTTAAAACTATGGAAGCAGCTAAGAGAATAGATCTTAAAAATGCTCAAGAAAAAAATTGTAACTATATGAGGTGATGGATGTATTATGTAAACTTACTGTAGTAATCATTTTGTAATATAGACATATCAAATCATTATGTTATATACCTTAAACTTATATGATGTTATGTGCCAATTATATCTCAATAAAGCTGGAGAAAAACAAAATTATGGAAGCAGCTAATGCTCTAGTAGAAAAAGCTCTTTAAGTAGGAAACCTAGTTTCTTTTCCAGGTATAATATTGTTTTGCTCTGTATCCTCGGAAAAAATGTGGTATTACTTTGGAGAAGTCACCATTTGTGTCTGTATTTCCATAATTGTGTAATGAGATAACACACTGTTTCTTAATGTGTGGTAAAAAATCAATGAGATAATAGAAAAAGCATTTTAAAAAGTATAAAAACATTTTATGAGGTGAATATTTGCCCAGGAGACAGGAAATCCTTTAATTTAAAAATTCCTCTGTCCTTTTTATTCATAATTACAAGGAAGAGGTGCCGAAAAGGAGGAGGGCTGTGGCACGAGAAGCCGTGCCTCCTGTGGCCGCCACATTCTAAGGTCTGTGAGGGCGGGGAGCCCCTCAGTTCTGCTCACTGTTCATCCTCTGCGCGCGGTTCCCGGTGGCTGCCCAGAAGCTGTTTCTGAATGGATGACAGTGAATTGGCCTGAAGGCCCCTGTGGTTAGCATTCGGTGATTTCTTTACCATGTAAGCATTGTGCAGAAAGGAGCAATCTGAGGCAAAACTCATGATGTTTATGTTTATTTTTCTTATATTTCAGCTGTGGCAGAAGTAAAACTTCGAGATGATCAATACACACTGGAACACATGCATGCTTTCGGAATGTATAATTACCTACACTGTGATTCGTGGTATCAAGACAGTGTCTACTACATTGATAATCTTGGAAGAATTATGAATTTAACAGTGATGCTGGTAAGGAAAAAAATATATAATACTAGGATTTTCTTATAAATTTGATATTTAATTTTCATTTTGAATCTGATATCCAGGGAATTAATGTACACATACCTTTACTACAGGGAATCCTATCATCATTCTATGTAAGGCTCCCTTTCTGTTTAATTCAATGTTAATTTTTCCCTTTGATCCTATTCCTACACATATTTATTCCCCTTCAGTCCCACCAGTGGGAAGCTACTCTAATGATTTATTAATGTTGATGTAGCTGTTCATTTCTCCTTTTTTTTAATGAGAAGTGTTATCCCTGACTATGATAAGGGATCTCTTTTTCCTTTTAGTTAATTTTTGCTTTATGTATTTTGAACCTTGTTAATTGGGTACACTTAGGATTGTTTTGTCTGCTATGAGTTGGTCCTTTTAGGATTATGAAATGTCCTTTATTTTTAGGCTCTGGGAATAATTTTGTCTTGAAATCTTCTCATTAATATAGTTGTGCTGGCTTTTTAAAAAATTAGTATTTATCTTTTTTTCCTTTTAATTTCAGTTTATCAGTGTTCTTATTTTTAAAGTATAACGCTCATAAAGAGCATTTAGTAGGGTCTTATTTTACCCGGTATAAGAATCTCTGTCCTTTAAGTAGAAGGCTTAGTATATTTACATTTAATGTAATTACTGATATGTTTGGGTTTATATTGCCATCTTGTCAGTTTGTTTCATCTGTTCTTTGTTTCTTTGTATCTCTGTTCCCATCTTTGGATTAATTAAGACTTTTTTTTAAATTTTAAAAATTAAACTTTCATTTAATTTTCTCTTTTGGTTTTTCATCTAAATCTGTTTATATTACCATTTTTTTAATGCTTATTGTAGAAATTCTTTATCATAGACTTACTCTAATTAATATTATTCCTCTTAAAAAAAGTGTATATCTTACAATAATATTTATTTTACTTCCCTTACCACCTTAGAGCTATTTTTGTCATATATTTTACTTCGCCATATGTTGTAAATGCCACAGTACACTGTTAGTATATTTGCTTTAAACAGTTAATGGTCAGTTAATAGCTACCTAATTACTCTCTGCTCCTTTTAACCATCCTCTACATTGCATCTACAGGATAATCTAAATTTGCTTGTCTATTCTTATCACTTCTCACTTAAATTCCTTTAATATTTTTCTTTATGACAAAATCCACACTTTTTTCTTTTAATGTTTTTTTACCCCCAGCTTGGTGGTTTCCTCTTTATTGATGTGAAAATCCACCCTTTTTAATATGCAATTTTAGAATAGGCAATGTGTTCATGTGATTTAAAAAACAAGAAATTTATGCTCGCTTTGGCAGCACATATACTAAAATTGGAATGATACAGAGAAGATTAGCATGGCCCCTGCGCAAGGATGACACGCAAATTCGTGAAGTGTTCCGTATTTTAAAAAAAAGAAACAAACAAGAAATTTAAAAGGGTATTTAGTGAAGTCTTTCTGACCTCATCTTTTATCTCTCCTGTGTTCAATACCGGTATTTCCTCTGCATCTTTTATTAGTTTCTTATATGTTCTTGTCTATGTAGTTTGTTTTGTGTGTGTCTGCTTTTGATTTTTTTCCAACAAGTGTAAGCACAAAGTGTTATATAATCTTAACATACAAACTCTTGGCATGTGAAGTTTATAATGCCCTTCTCTCCAACTTAGACTTTCACCGCATTCTGCTAATACCACACTCTTGCACTTCCTGAGACATGCAGTTCCTGTAGCCTGTTGCCTCCAACTCTCTTCCCATGTGATTAACTGTACCCGGAACATTCTCTCTTAGTTCTGTCAGGCTGCTTCCCAATTTGCACTTAAAAGTCCCAGCTAATCATTTCATCCAGGAAGCTTGACCTGACAAATCCCTTTGCTTCCCTAGGGACATTTAAAGCATTGGCTGTTAGATCTACATGGACTATGAATTTGCTCTAGGTAAGGGGTTAGCAAAACTTTTGTGCACAAGGCCAGAAAATAAATCTTTTAGAGTTTGTGGGCCAAACAGTCTTATGTTACAACTGCTTAATTTTTCTATAGTAGTGTGAAAACATCAATAGACAGTATGTAAATGAATTAGCGTGGTTGCATTCCAGTAAAACTTTATTTACCAAAATAGACATTAGGCCACATTTGATTTATGGGCTATGTAGTTGGTGACCCTTGGGATAGCCTGTAGATCTTTCTTATATTTCTGTAATTCTAGCACCCAGCAGAAGCATTGGCCAGTATGTTTGCTGAAAGGATAAAAGCTCTTTCAAGTTTATTCTTACTCTTTGGAGTTGGCTTTTGCATTCTTGATAGAATCTTCCTCTTATTATCCAGGTACATGTATGAGTCTTTGGTTTGTTGAGATAAATCATTTTACTGAATTAGAAATATTTATATTTCTTCAGCAGACATTGAATGGTACTATGTGCTTAGTAGCTGCATACACGTCTACATTGATAACATGTAACAGTGGAAGTAGGGATAAGATGCAGAAGTAATACGGAGAAGGAAAGCTGAGTAGTGTGCTTGGCTGGGAGGGGCAGAGATAGGGTCATGGTTCGGGGCCAAAAGCTTGGTTTTATCTTTAATAATCACAATTTGGGATTCTAATTCTAACTTAAATCACAAGATTTAAAATTGGAAGTCTGGACTGAAAGTTTAATGATTGCATTTGAAATACTAGAGATAAGCAGTGTGGGCTAGTCAGTATATTTTTCTTCTTCTGTTGGAAAGTTTCCATAGGAAATCAAGTACAACTGACTTGGAAAACTTGGATGTTAGGGGCTCAACCCCCTCAGCTGGAAATTCAGATATAACTTTTGACTTCACCCATAACTTGGTTATCCCTTGGTACCTATGGGGGGTTGTTGGTTCCAAAATCCCCACCCACACCCTGCAGATACCAAAATCTATAGGTGCTCAAGTATCCTATATAAAATGGCACAGATCAATGCATACAGTTGGCCTTTCCATTCACAGACTCCCAAGCTCATCAAAAACAGTACAAGGATTTATTGAAAAATTCATGTCTAAAGGGACCCACACAGTTCAAATGTGTTGTTCAAGGGTCAAATGTACTACAGTTTTATAGCTAATTTGACATGGAATTAGTTAAAGACTAAGATGTCTTTTATTCTTTTTTCTAACCTATTCTCTGATTTCTGAGAGCACTACAGAGTAACTCATTATAATCCCTTATTTAGCTTTAGTGTCTTTGCCTGTCAGTGGACTCATTTATGACACTATTTACACATATACCCTATATGCACTATAAACTTTGGATAGTGTGTACATACAAGCCAAAGGCTCTATAACAGGCATGTGTGTTATGTTGTGCATACATAGTCATATATAACCAGATCTGGCTGTGCATAGTTTCCTTTTTTTTTAAAGATTTTATTTATTGACTTGTAGAGAGAGGGAAATGGAGGGAGAAAGAGAGAGAGAAACATCTATGAGTGAGAGATACATCGATCGGTTGTCTTGCCCCCAATGGGGGATTTGGCGGGCAACCCAGGCATGTGCCCTGACTGGGAACCTACCAGTGGGGAATCGAACTGGTGACCTTTGCATTCGCAGACCGGAGCTCAATCCACTGAGCCAGGCCATAGTTTGTATTTTATTGTATCTTTTAAAATTAAGGGCTTTTATGTTTTTAAAATCCTAGTTTGTTTTGTTTGTTTAGGAAGACAAATCTAAAATCTCAAGATTCTCGAAGAACATTGACTTTTATAAGTCTAACTCAGCACATATATAGTGTGTACACACATACACACACACATTATTTACTAACATTCAAAATATTTATTGCATGCCTACTTATATATTACGCATTGCGTTAGGCACTGGCAGTGCTGCAGTATACACAGTAAAGTCCCTTCCACTTTACTAATTTATAGTAGAATTTGAACTGCTTTCTTCCTTCTCTTTCCCAGTTTGAACTTGACATGGAAATAACAGCCTCTTTCAGAACATGTTCATACATGTTCAAGGCAGTCTGTGCCTTTCCATGTATATAATGTACATTCAAATTTGTTTAGCTTCTGATAAAATCAAAAGGTTTTTTTGAAACAGTTTCACTTAAGGAAACTAATTTAGAATGATGACTTCTGGGAACATTTCTACAAGTTGCCTTCTTTCGTAGTTCTTAATTATGTTCACCCCTGAACTCTTTGCATTTCATATGTATTCTGTTTACCTACTGAATGATAAAAATCCTTGAATTATTTAGTTGAAAATACATAAAATGCATTCTAAAAAATAGTTTGTTAGATCCTCTATTTAAAAGACCTTACCGTATATCTTTTTTTTCCAACTGCTAAGTGCCACTGTATGTTTGAGTGAGGATCCCCTACCCAGGTATTTGTTTTTGTAAGTGCTGTCTCCTGGGCTGGCAGGTGTGTCCCTACAGAGGAGCCCTTTTGCTTCTCGTCTAAGAGGTGTAAGGCTGATCCTTAATCAAACTTTCAAAGGTATTACTATTATTTGATTTTTAAAGAACCACATTTGGAGTTGTTTTAGTTTTTCTGTTTAATTAATTCAGTTTATCTTTGTTTTTCAAACTGTATTGCACATGAGAATCACTAGGAGTAACTCCTCAAAACAAAAGCTAATTTCAGGTTGTTGTTTCCAAAGATTTTGGTTCAGTATATTAGGATTGGTCCTGGTCTGGGAATCTGCATCTTGTCAAGCAGTTCAAATGACTGTGTTTCAGTGATCAATTTTTGAGAACCTTGCACCTGTGATACGGAGGTATGCCACATTCATTTCTTACTATTTTTCTGATCAGCAGCAAAGGATATCTATCTGTTCTTTGAAGTTCGGGGCGGGGGCGGGGGCAGGTGGAGAGTACTAACCACTGAACTGCATATTGGCTTTCTTATAGCAGAAAACAGTTGTAATATCCATTTTATTATCTGATTTTTTTGTTGTTGTTTTTGAGTCAAAGACACACATGCTCAAATCCCAGAGAGGCTCTTTTCCTGAGGCTGGTGTACAAATGCTCACCCTGTTAAGTCTAGGCAAAACATTGCTGCAGTTAAAGTGAAGGCTGTAGGGGCCCAAGAAAGGAAATTCACACATTGTTTGGACTTTAGATTTTGTCAGAAGCCAGCAGGTGGCAGCATTTCAACACACAGATTTGTAAAGGCATTTACTTCTAAATCAGTTCAATTTGTGGGCTTATAATTTTGGAGAAATACCAAAAATACCCAGGAATTCAAAAAACAAGTATTTTTAAAATTTAGTTTTTATCATTTTGTTATAGTATTACAGCTTATTTTAATCTGTTCATTTTCTTAATATTTAGGGAATTAATTGTCATTGTTTTTTTCACAGTAACCCGAAAAACTAGTTTATGCTACTAAGAAGAGTGTCATCTTGTGGTGTGTTTTTTAAATTGCACTTGAAGATCCAGGGAGAGTTGCTCGATTCTCTGTGCCAGCATGCCTTTATGAGGCTGTGTCTTGGAGTGACAGGTCACAACTGCATGTTAGTCCAACTCAAATGTCTGCCAGTGTATTCACAGTGTATCTCTAGACCTGAATCTCAGTGTATTTTCTATGGCTGAGTTTATTAATATGGAGTCATTTTTTTTCCTAGTTAAAGAAAAAGATAAAAGGAGGAGTAAGTTCTTGGAACTGTCTGCTTAATGCTTTCTTGAAAGTTTTATGTTACATAGAGACATTACTCAAACAACAATTAATTAAAAACACCTTTTTCTTAAAGTTTTAACAAAAAAAAGGAAAATGGAAGATGTTTTTAAAGTTAAAAGTTATTAGTGATGAAAGCTTTTCCCCAGAAAAAGATCACTTCCTTTTAAAAGGGCATAATTTTAAATGTCAGTGTTTAATAATACCAGTAAGTGGTATTCTTATTTAATATTGCTTGATAATTTTTTAAACTTAAATAATTTACTACTCTAATATTTACAGAAGAAAATATTTTATTGCATACAGTCCACTTAAAAATTAAAATGTACCCTTTGAGAAATAGATTTCTCATAAATGTTAGAAAAATGTTTTTTAAGTTCAGAACTTGTCTCCTTGTAGATGAAATTAAGAGGTCTCTAAACTCCTGTTTAAGATTGTTTCTATAAATATATATGGTTTATATATTATTATTTACTATTTATAGTGTCATTTATATACAATGTGTACACATAATTTTTATGTTTTATTGACTTAAAAATCTAATGAAAATACTGTAGTATAACATATTAGCAAGAAGAAAAACTGAGTATAGTAGTCGTATTCATAGTGAGAGTTTTTGGAGGAGGAGCATTCTGGAAATTGCGGTGAGGTCTGAGGTGTCATTTGTTTAGAACAGCTGGGAAGTGGTTCACGACGGTGTGGACTGCAGGAAGCACATCAGCCTTCGGAGTGGAGTCGATCAGACTCGAATGCTGGCCCTGTCCTTTCTACGAGCAGAGTCCCAGGCATCGTATTTAATCTTTTTGAAACAGCTTTTTATCTTCTTAAAATGGGGGTAATAATTTCAGCTTCATATGGTTTTGTAATAATTAAATAAGATGGTAAAAAGTCAAAGCACTTTTCATTTAATACCATGCTTCTACATTATAGCCATTCTGTAAGTGTTTCATTTATCACTGAAATTTTAATTCTTTTGTAATTCAGCCGTGAAATGTTACCTCAGAATGATTTTCAGCAACCTTGAACATAGTTACATTAACATTTTTTTGCCTAGAAGAAAATGATCAGGTGGTACCAGGACCTTATAGATGCCAATTACATAAAGTGTTATGAGAACACTTGGCAAAACTGTCAGTGGAGGTTATTAAAAAATAATTTAACACTGTAAGATTTACAGAAGAAAATAATTTATGGCGTACAGTCCACTTAAAAATTAAAATGTACCATTTGAGAAATAAATTTCAAGTCAGGAATATTCAGGTTGCTTTCACTTAAACTATCATTTGACTTAAGTAAGGGAGAATACTGTATGTTTTCTTTTGCATTTTAATTTAATTTGGCTTCACATTTACATCCCTGAATATTTTAATCATTCTGTTGGACATTGCACTAATTTATCTGCTAGACTTCTAACAATCTCAGTCATGTGTAACCTTGTATTTAAAAGAAAATGGCTGAAAATAACCTTTATAATTATGTATAAAGTGAAGAATAATGACTTAACAAATTTAGCTCTGCATTCTCTCTGACAAGGGTTCAACTAGGTTAGCTGCAGCAAAGGGCATGCGTGGAGATCACTGTAAAGCTTTACTTTTAAACAACTGTTTTGAGGAAAAGACCCACTTTACTTATTAATATCTTTAAATTATGTATATTACACATAAATTGCTCAGTAGGAAAAAATAGTCAAGTGATGTTATTAGAAGCAAAAAGGGAAAATTTTCCCTTAACCTCATCATTCCCTACCACCAGTCTCAATCCAATCTTAATTTTTCTTCTACTGGTAAACACTATTAACAGACCAGAACCTTACGTTGTGTTGTCAAATCACTACGTTTGTTTATTTCAACGTATTTGGATTTGTACTGTACATATTCTGCATCTTTTTTTACAGTCATTGTCTTGGAGGTCTTTTTATGTCGGTATATAAATCCATTTGGTTATAGTTAACACTCATTTGATTTATTATTTTTTGCCTGAAAGGAGAATGCACACCCAGGGGAACCACAGAGTGTCTCAGTAAGAGGATGTAAGACAGGACTTACAAGATTGCGTTTTTAAATTCTTTTTAAATTGATTTTAAGAGTAAGAGAGTGGGAGGGGGATTGAGTAGGGTGAGGAGAGAGGCAGGCAGAGAGAGACAGACAGACAGACAGACATTTACTTGCTGTTGCACTTATCTGTGCGTTCACTAGTTGATTCTTGTATGTGCCCTGATCAGGGATGGACCCTGCAACTTTGGCATATTGGGATGATGCTCCAGCCGATTGAGTTACTCAGCCAGGTCTAGGTTGGGCTTGTGTTGGGTGATTGGAGGTTTTTCATTGAATTATTTAATTCAATGTTGTGTAAATCACTAAAATATGAATACAAAAAGGACAGGTGCTGTTTCAAGAAAAAGTAAATCGTATGCTTTAGAAACAATGGGTAACTAAAAAACTTGAGGCTAGTGAGGATACTGAATATATTTTACTTAAATCTTACTAATACACTGATCTAAACACTCCTAGGAGTGGGGAATGAAATGTATGAATCAAGGATAATTTTTGTCCTGTAGGAAAAACTGTTAACTGAAAACTAAAACAACAAAAATTATTGTATATAATGTGTAAGGAAGTTTATTGAGTAGAGGTATGAGAGGAAGTTTATTTCCTGAAGTGTAGGCCTTTTAATATATTTTCTTATAAAACATTTTAATGATGCAGTCATGTTACAGGTTTAAATTATGAGGACATGGATACAATAAAAATGTGTTAACAAAAGCCTAAGTTAATAGTCTAAATGTGGTGTTTTCATACCACAGGTTACCTATGTAGGCATTTAGAACATGATGTGGTAGTTCTCATTAATTAAAAATGCTGATCATTAACTCTAAACTTAAGAGAAAAATAAAGACTAGATTGCTGCATTGTGTTAATCTATTTCTATACAACAACTTTCCTCAAAACTTAGCGACTTATCATGGTGATCACATCACTAGGCATATATAAATGTTGAATAATTATACTGTACACCTGGAATTAATATAATATTGTATGTCAACTGTATTTTAATAAAAAGCCTCTGTGACTTGAAATGATAAACATTTGTCATCTCACAGTTCCTGCGGGTCAGAAATTAGAGAGTGGCTTGTGTGGTTCTGTCTCATGTTTTCTCAAGGAAGTGCAGTCAAGTACCATGTCAGCCAGCACTGCAGTGAAAGCTTAACTAGGGCTGCAGGATACAGTCCCAAGAGGATTCACTCGCAGGATGCTGGCTATTGTCACGAGCCCTCGATTCTTCCCCGTGCGGGCCTACCGTGTGCTGTGCAAGGGAGAGCAAAATAGATGAAGCCTCTTTTGAGGTAATCTGAGAAGGCACATCACCATTACTTCTGCCCTGGTTTATGAGCAGTGAGTCAGTAGTACAGCGCCTACTCCAGGGGAGGGCAACTAGGTACCTGCTCCTGAAGAGGAGAGTAATTTCTACACTGAACGTGTTTTTTCTGTGTGTGTATGGGCCAAGGAGAGGGAGGGATTCATTTATATTATTTGGCTGCTTTTTAGGACACTGCCTTAGGAAAACCCCGAGAGGTGTTTCGACTTCCTGCAGATTTGACTGCGTACGACAATCGGCTTTGTGCATCTGTCCATTTCACATCTTCTACTTGGGTTACCTTGTCAGATGGAACTGGAAGATTATATCTCATTGAAACAGGTGAACGTGGCAACAGTGCTTCTGAAAAATGGGAGGTGAGATGTTTGTTTGTTTGTTTGTTTGTTTGTAGGTATATTCAAAGGCTGGAAAATACATAAATTAAGGACCTTCATGATTTTGAAATAATACTTTTTAGGGACAGTTTATGTGTGACCTTTTGGTTTTAATTATAAGTAATGTTTTGAATATCTCTAATTAAATTATAACATGTATGTCTTTTACAAAACTGATATGTTAACCATTCCACTTTGGACCTGGGGTCAATGCAATTGTCAAGAATTGTATTTGTTTTTTTCAGCCAATATTTTATTGATTTTATATATGTAAAGCAGCACACTAAACACTGACATTGCCTTCCTCTTGGAGAAGAGTTGGCCAGAAAATTACATTGGCATATCTTTTCTCCTCTTCTCATGTTACACTTGCTGGTATGTTTAGGGGCCTAGCTTGCTTCCATTGCACCACTCTGCTAACTGGTATGTTTACCAGAGTATTCCCTACTTAGGAAAATCCACTACAACATAAATGCAGTAATGTACCAATTGCTAAGATGCCATTTTTACTGTTTTGCCGTTTTCTTAACACAAGGTAACAGATTTAAATCTGAGGAATAAATAGTAATAAATAAGGGATTAATTTCTCTAGAGCCACAGTTGTTGAACGTGGAAAAGATTGATGCTGAGTTATACTAAAAAGAACATTGTGATGCTGTGACTGTGTACATTTCAGCTGGTCTTTAGTTCTGGATAGAAAAAGAGATATGAACTTAATATATTTATGTCTTATAAAATATTTTTATCAGTCCAATATATATTTATCAAGGCTTTTAATTATTTGAGAAAAATCAAAAAGGCCTTAGAAGAAAAATGTTTTACTTTTCTCACTAAGTTATACTACATGGTATAATACCAAATTGAATTATGTTAAAAAATACAAACCGAAACAAAATGTATGACCAGAACAATAATATCCTGTTTACCAGAGACTTTGCAGGCTTTTGCAGTCACATTTCCAAGTAGTCATTGGACATTGTGACATTTTCTGCTCTGGCCTCCTGTAATAACTTTTTATTTCCTTTTTTCTTTTTCCTCCCTCCCTCTCTCCCTCTCTCCCTTTCTTTCTTTCTTTCTCTTTCTTTCTTTCTTTCTTTCTTTCTTTCTTTCTTTCTTTCTTTCTTTCTTTCTTTTTTTTTTTTTACTGAGGTGATGTATATAACACACTTATCTGAAACAGTGGAAGGAGTTTGGAAAAGATGGGCAGGAAATACATGAATGAGAATTTATCTTTTGTAAAGCTGTATTGACTCTCTTGGTTTTGAGCAGGAAGAGAAATACCTTCAGCTTAAAATGACACTGCATATTTAACTAGGAAGGAAATTCATAGTGGTTTATAATCCATTTGACTTCTGCTGTGTGTATTCTCATGGCACATATTAAGCCTTCAGTAATATTTCTAAAATCAATTAAAAATTTATATCTACTTCTTTTTCATTATACATTGCTGTAATGAAATAAGCACCCTCTGAGATGTTTTCAGTTAGTAATAGTTTTGATTGGGAGTTGGAGCAGATGGGAAAGAAATGGGACTCAGGCATTAACTGAGTGAAAGGGATACCATGGGATAGGCATTGCTTTAAAAGAAACAATTTAAGAGAGTTTTAGGACTTGAGGGAATTTGGTAAAACAGAGAGCTAGCTGAAGGTGGGCGTGGTTGGGGTGCAGGAGGGCGTAAGGGGCCGAGAAAGCCCGGTGGTGATGACTTAAGTACAGAAAGAAGACAGTCTGCTTGCCAAATATTTTGCCTCTCATATGATGGGAGGCTGTACATCAACAATATCGTAGTTGAGTTGCTGGGCTTGTTCAGGAGACTGGAAACCTCAGCCTGACCATTTTTAAAAATCCAGGTATCTACCTCTCTGGGCTCCTTCCAGTCTCTTTTGTGCACAGGAAAGAGAAAGAGAAGAAAACAATAAACTAGCTACTTGGACCTGGCAAAACTCATTAGTTTTCCTTCTTCCTTTTTGTCTCCTCTAGTCCCCCAAACAAAAGCAAAACCCAGTCAACCGTCTAAAAACCTGTCTTTTATCATCTCTGTTTTGAGTACTTGAGGATTTTGTTGTTGTTTTCATGTTTATGGAAGACTTTAGAAGGGATCCAAAGGCATCTGCTTTGAATAGTTTTGACAGAGTTGCTCAAATACATAGAAAAATTGACAACATTAAAGCACACTTTTTCTTTATAAGGCTTTCAAGTAGGGGCACATTATAAAGGGATTCCCGATACAGGTTATTTTTTTTTTTAAGGGAGCTAATTTTTAGATTTTTTTTCCCAACTATTTTTTCATTTATTTGAATATCTTGTTTAGAAATCAATCTAAAACTTGTTTAGTACTTACTATAATAAAAATATGATAGTCTTTTACATTATGTGTTTGTAATACAAAAAAAATTTAAGATGTTGTGTCTCCATATGATGCTTAGATTTTCTTTTTTATAAGCAAATTCAGTATTACATTTTAAATAGAGTTGGTTGAATTATACTGTTTAAATGGATTCCTTTGTTTTTGAGAAATAAGAAAGTTTTAGTGATTTGTTTTTCACTGCCTTTGACTCTTACTTTGTAAACTTTCAGAAAATACAGAAAGACAAAATAAAATAACAGGAAAAGGAACACGCACACATGCATGCATGGTATTCAGAAACTAAGAGGAAAAAAGCAGAAATAAATCATATGTGAGAGGGGAAGAGATGGAGGAATGAATAATATTAACCTGCTCACATGCTCTCCTTTTGTATAGAGCACTGTTTTCACTTGATAATTCATTTCTAGGACAGTGCTTTTAGTTCTCTTTCTCCTTTAGATGCTGTGTCAATGACCTGTTGTTTTCTTTGTTTTTAAGCCAAGAATACTGAATGAGTTTTCTCTGTTAAATATTTTTTAGAAGTTCTTTGAGGAACTGTATTTAAACCTGCAACCTTTAAAGGCTTTTTTAAATTTTATATTCTTTGTAATAAGTAGTATCCCAATTGTTGGATTGTCAAAATTCTGTGTATTCCTTCTGCTATATGCATTCATGTAATGAGTACATTTTTGTGTGTGTCATCTCTTTTTTTCCTATAGATTATGTTTAATGAAGAGCTAGGGAATCCTTTTATTATAATTCATAGTATCTCATTGCTGAAAACTGAAGAACATTCAATAGCTACCCTACTTCTTCGAGTAGAGAAAGAAGAATTAGACATGAAAGGAAGTGGTTTCTTTGTTTCCTTGGAGTGGGTCACTATCAGTAAGAAAAATAAAGGTAAACATGACATTCTGAATCCCTCCATAGTGGTTGCCATAATTTTGTAGGTTTGAAGTACAGAGCTGTTCCTATAAATGGTATTTGCTTTTTCTTGAGTATTGGGTTATGATTCTGATACCTGCCATCCAGTAGAATGAATATGTATAGATGATTTCTCCTTAGATATGGGTTATAAAAAATTAATAATGTGCTTCCCCAGTAAGTTATACCTTTTTGTATAAAAGGAAACATTATATAATTTTTAAAGAATTTAAAATATATTTCTTAATATATGCAAGAATATATGTGTATATGTATTTGTATACATACACCTGTGTGCACAAGAATTCATATATACAGGGTGGGGCAAAAGTCTGTTTACAGTTCATATGTAAAATAATACAATAATTAATAAATTATACCAGGATAAACTTTTGCATACTCAGAACTATAAACTTACTTTTTTCCCCACCCTGTATATAAAATTAAATGTAAATTAATTAGAATTCACTGTATAATTGAAATATAAATCAAATATAACTGCCTAGATGGAAATGAATACCTTTATTTCATTAAATCACAACTGTTATTTCTTTTCATTCTAAGTTGAACTTTGCCATTTGTTTCTACCCTCAGGAAAACTCTTTGTTTTTTTTTTCACTCATAGTGCTTCCATGCATAAGGAAGTCCTGACTTTTAGTCTGCTTGAACCTGTCAGACTTCTAAGTTGGACATTAAAAATTATATTTTTTTAAAAACAATTAATTAGGATTCCTTTAGTGTTGTGGTCTTGCCCTTTGCTAGTGCTTAGCTCTTACTGGCTCACCAAGTGGTTTTTCACTGCTGTTGAGCACTGAGGGATCTTGTTTCCATGACTAGTTGTTTTTCTCAGTAGTTTTTATTAACCTACTCATTTAACTTATCAGTTTAAAATTTTCATTGATTTCTGTGAAAAAAGATTTCTTCAGCACAGCTGCTAGTTTACAATCTGATAAAAACTATTAACATTTTTTTCTAAGAGAGCTTTTTTATTTTAGAATGAACTATATGTATATATAAATATATATTCATATGTATATAGATATATGTGTATGCGTGTGTGTGTATATACCCATATATACATATATAATCAGAATAGTTTATAAATAAGCTGAATAAATTTACTAGATTTTTCCATTGAAGTATTTGATGTAATTTGTTTTTCTACCCAGTGTTATAGTTTCATCTCTGGCGGAACACAGTATTTTAAAACTTTAGGTGTTAGAAAACTTTCTCTGACAAAGGCTAGATGGTAACCACGTGATCTGTGTCACATGGTACAGAAGCAGCCACACAATACATGAATGAGTACAGCTGTATTCCAATGGTATTTTATTTATGGGCCCTGATATTTGGGCTTTATGTAATTCCTACATGTATTTAAATATTATTGTTTTGAATTTTTTTAACCACTTAAAAATTTAAAATTTATTCTTTGACACATAAGGTGTAGTGTGCATATCCCTGCTTTAGATAATAAAAGCTTTGTTTTTTAAATTAAATTACTTAACAACTTATAGGAGATGTTGTCCTGCACGTCCCATCTCTTCTCTGAGACCCTGGGTTCTGTGACAGCTTTAGCTCCCTCCACAGGAACTTGCATCAGACTGCCTCAGAACACAGTGGCACTCCAGACTACCCCCACACCTCTGTTCCCTTCATCTTTGTTTCCTGCCTCAGGCGGACAGAAATATTTAGATTCACCTTTCTTTTTTCACCCCCAAAATAATTTTAATTATTGCTACTATAGAAACATTCTTTCTGTGGTTCACTTTTTATCTTTTTTGTTATTCGTGATGTCTCATTCCCTTTCTCCTCCTATCACAGATACTATTGTTCTACATTTTTATTTTATTTTTAAGTGAAGATAACAGCAGTATTTTTCTAAACTGTGTTGAGTGGAGCATTACATAAATTATATTTGTGGTCCAGTTTTAAAATGTGGGCATACAGTATCCCCATTACATATTAAGCATATTAAAGTTTCTAAAAATTTTGAGTAAAAAAGAAAATTTAATTTTAATCCAAACTTTCCCAACTTTTTTACATGGAACTCACTTGAAACTTAACTATCATATTCTGTCCCAAACATGTTGGGAAAAGTCACACTATAAAATATACAGTGTCTAAGCTCAGGTCTTTAGAGGCAGGTAGGACTCTCTGCCCTTTATAATCCTGTGTAGGAAATATAGTTTTTAATTCATTTATGAAATGAGAAGTCTATTCTTAAATATGTATGAAATAAATAAGTGGCTATAGGTGAGGATTTTGAAAAAAACTAATTGATATTTTTAGAATAGATTCTATTATTATGCATAACTGATAGGACATTGAGTTATGAGTTTTGACTGCTCAAGGTGAAGCTTACAAGTAGTACCCAGTTTAATAGAATAACAGTGTAAGTAAAGGTATGGACTCAACTGAAATCCTTGAGTACTTTTTAAAGCAGAAAATAATCTACTTTCATAAGAGAATAAATTCAGTTAATTTATCAGACACTTTCAGGATACAATTATTTATATCTTAAGAAAAAAATTTTTTAATACTGATTTTAGAGAGAGGAAGGGTGGGGGGTGGAGGGAGAGAGAGAGAAACATGAATTTGTTCCGCTTATTTATGCATTCATTGGTTGCTTATATGTGCTCTGGCAGGAGATCGAACCTGCAACCTTGGTATATCAGGATGTATCAGGATGACACTCTAACCAACTGAGCTACCCGGCCAGGGCTATATCTTAAAAATTCTAAGTACAATTATTTATGTTTCATTATAATAGGCATATAGAACAATATCTGAATGTGTATAAAAATCATTTCTGCTTAAGCATATTTCACTTTAATAAAACCCCTTATCAGTAGCTAGAACAGGCAGAAAAATAGTCTACACCTCACTTTGTCCCTTATCCTCAATTTGTGGCTCTTTTTCAGAAGATGCCTATCGTATACTTGCTGGGAAAGTAGACAGACTGTAGTCAAGGAAAAGGTAGATCCTTCAGAGACGGATATTTCAGGTTAAGTCAGTCACTTTGGATCTAGGGCACTGCTGCCCTATAGAAATGTCCACAAGATGGACCTGTTTTATATGTCTGCCATTTAGTGTGTTAGCAGCTAGCCTTGTGTGGCTGTTGAGCCCCTGAAATGTGGCTAGTGAGATGAAGGAAGTGAATTTCCATTTTTACTTAATTTTAATTAAATAGTCACTTGTGATCAGTGGCTAATACATTGGATAACATAATCTAGGACAATTTTTATCAGATCCAGTGTTTTAAAATAAGGATTTTTTACAGAATATTAGGTCATTTTTTTTTTGTCCTTTGAATCTATAAAGACACCCAACAGTATTCCTTTTAATAGTACATTTAAAATACTTAATTTTAACTGAAATTTACATACAAATATTTTAAGACTATTTCTATAATATAGTTTTTTGTAATTTATATTCAAAAATACTTAATATTCTTTCAGATAATAAAAAATATGAAATAATTAAGCGTGATATTCTCCGTGGAAAGTCAGTGCCAAATTATGCTGCTATTGAGCCCGACGGGAATGGTCTAATGATTGTTTCCTACAAGTCCTTCACATGTGTTCCAGTTGGTCAGGATGTTGAAGAAAATAAGGATGAAGACATATCAGATAAAATCAGAGGTATTTATATGCATACATACATAAGTATGGTTTGTCTGCTCAATTATGTAATGGGCTTTACCAGGTCAAAATAAATGCTTAATTATTATTATTATTAAAAATATATATTCCCAGAATAATCTTTATGAAATATACCATCTAAAGAGTGGAAACTAGTTTAATTTAATAATTTTATAATTACCAAAAAATGTTTAAAATACATAGCTTATCTGATTAGGTGTTTAATAAACACTTGGCAAAAGAATAAATAAATAGTGACTATTTGTTGTTGGCATTTGAGAAGCTGGCATATTAGTATTAAAGATAATCTTTCAAAATAAGCTCAACTCTGTTCATTTTAAGTGTATGCTAAGGTACATGTTTTTACCTTTCCAAAGAAAGTTCCTTGGGGACATACTTCTGGTTTTCTGTGTAGGCTGAGTGACTGAATGAAGATTTGTAATGTTTTCAGAATGGAAAGAGTAACAAGGTCTTTCAGAAGAAGTTTACATTTGTATATAAAGAATACATATTTTAAAAATATTCAAGAGATGTATAAATATATATACACCAATATAAATATTTCTTCTAATCATTATTCATATTTCTAAAATTTATAGCTATAGAATAGCGCGCATGTGTGTGTGTATTTTCCTTGTCAAAGGACACTTGTTTTTTTCACTGCTTTTAGAGAGAGACGAAGGGAGAGAGAGAAACATTGGAGCAAGAGAAGCATTGATTGGTTGCCTCCTGTATGCTCCTGGACGAGGGATCAAACCTGACCAGGGTTTAAACCCAAATCTAGGCATGAGCACTGACCGGAAATTAAACTGGCAACCCTTTGGTTATGGGAAGATGCTCCAACCAACCGAGCCACACCAGCCAGGGCAAGAATAGCATATTGTTTTAACAGAGATTTCACAATATTTAACAATTACACATTACTCTTTGAATATACCTTTTTTTTGTTACTTATTTAAATAAACAGTTTTTCTATTTTTATGTATCTTTCTAAAAATGAATTTTTTGAAAAGTATTTGAAAATACTAAATTTATAAATAATTTGAAAAATATTTTCCCCGGGCTTATAAATACCACCTTAGAATACAACAGCTGTTTTTGGTGGCTGTTTATTTAGTCTCTTAACAACTTGGTTTTCTCAAATGTGAAGTTTTTTGTTCTCTTACTTCTAAGATCCCTTTTGGAATAGATTCTTCTATTCTGTCTTAATTGTAATGCTAAAGTTTCCTAGAGCTTAGCCAAAACATGTATTCATATTTCTAGACCACATGGTGTTAAGAACTTAACTCCTAGGTGAGCAGTTGTGAAGGAAGAAAATAATGCTTTAATCTTTGGAGCCATTTTGCCTAGAAGCTAGGACCATGTGGTTCCTGGACAGATTGTCAGTTGGTGGGACACGTTTAAGTCACTGTCAGGTTAGGTATTGTTTTTCTTCTTGACAATTACATTGTATTTTGAATTCATCCTGAATTTATTATATCTGTTCTTCCCTTTAATTGGAAACTCCAAATCCCGTCCATTTTTTTGTTTTCCTGCTAATAATAAACAGTCCATAGTTTCTTGTACCCAGTTTCTATTGGGAAATTTATTCTGTATTTATTTAATCATAGGACTTTCTCAGTGATAAAAGAAAAATGTAATTTAAAAAAATATATGAATATCTTGTTAATTATAGCCTATTTTCTTTTAAACAGTCTTCTGATATATGTACTAATTTTATATTCTGTAAACCTCAAGGAGACATTTAGTCTGTTGCCTACTTAGTATTGTTATAGTTATAGAAATTATAGTACTTTCTGCCCTGGCTGGTGTGGCTCAGTGGATTGAGCGCCAGCCTGCGAACCAAAGGGTCACTAGTTCGACTCCCAGTCAGGGCATATGCCTAGGTTGCAGGGTAGGCCCCTAGTAACGGGCACTCAAGAGGCAGCCACACATTGGTGTTTCTTTCTCTCCCTCTCTTTCCCTTCTCCTCTCTCAAAAAATAAAATCTTTAAAAAAGAATAATAGTATTTTCTTTGAAAGATCTAAGAAATGATCTCTAAAAACATACAAAGTCAGTCAAAGCAACCTACAACTGAGAAAAAGTGTTTAGGTGTTTGTATACATTCAGTGGAGAGAGAATTTAAAAATTCAGACTTTCCCTTTAGTCTATGTCCATGTTTCTTAATTTCTACTAAAAGTTCATGTGATTTTGCAAATTCCTGCCATCCCATATCTGGCAGAAGTTACACATTGAGGATTATGTATAAATTGCCTTGTTAACTTTTGCAGTAGACAACAATACTAATAAAACAAATTACTTGCCTTAAGGAGCTTATAGTTATTTGTCTTTCAAGCTATAAGTTTTTTTCAGTGAGTTCATATTAAAAGTACTACTTAAGGCAAAAGAGAGGATCTGAGAGGCCATTTAAAGGAATATGATGCAGGGTAAAATGACCCCAAAGTAACAATTTTATCCAGAAAATTTGTGTGTTTTATATTTATTTCTATAATATCATGCTTGTTAAATCTTTTAACATAAAATAAAAATGACCCTTTAAAAGATACACTATACTTATGCTATATCTTTGAGCATATCTAGTACCAACGTTTTTACATAAAACAGCACAAAAACAATAATAACCCACATTTAATGAGAATTCATAATACATTGAGGTAACAGGATTGATATTAAATGTTTTATATATGTTAAGTGTCAGTAGTCCTAGAGGTATGTAATATTGTTACATAGATTGGGAAAATGAAGCTCAGAGATAACACTGCCTACCAAAACTAGTAAGTGATTCGGCCAGGATTTTGACCCAGGACCAGTCAACTCTGGAGCACTGGTTCGTAACCACTGTGTACCCTTTTTTCCTGATGCATGGTGAACAGATTAATGTTTATGGATGCCATTAGGCAAATACTCACTTTACATTTCGGACCTATTTTCTTAGTTGCATGGTTATAGTATGATGGGTCTAAAGCTGATTCTTCAGCAGCTGGCTTTTTAGGAGATAGGCTGAGGAGATAGAGGAGGAGGTGGAAGGAGGATTCTTTTACTGGATACTTAAAGTATGCTGACAGCCTTTGAATTTCCTATGAAATTGCTTTCATGCAATGAAGTTGTAGGGTAGAATAGCCAATGCTTTCATAAGGAAAATAACTCTTCTATTTTTGTGTGGATGTATGTCCTATCAAATAATAGTGGTCTCCTGTACCACAGAGTTAGTTGCCTTGCTTCTAACATGGGTAAAAGCAAGGTGGTGGTGGAGGTTTCAGACAGTAGTCTATGTCATATTTGGTATTCTTTGGAACCAGGAAGAGAGAGAGAGAGTGTGTGTGTGTGTAAGGGGGAAAAGGGAGAACGAGAGAAAGAGGGACTGGGAGGCAGGGAGAGAAGGAATGGGGATCAGGGATTGCTATCATTAGTTTTTTTAAAAAAGATTTTTATTTATTTATTTATTTTTAGACAGAGGGGGAGGGAGGAGAAAGAGAGGGAAACACCAATGTGTGGTTGCCTCTCATGTGCCTCCTACTAGGCACCTGGCCCACAACCTAGGCATGTGCCCTGACTGGGAATCGAACTGGCGATTCCCTTGGTTCACAGGCCATCACTCAATCCACTGAGTCACACCAGCCAGGTATGATTAGTATTTTATGAATACTTATGTAAGCCTGGAAGAGCAAAATGTCCAGTGCAAATGCTGTAACTCTTTGAGTGAAAATTCCTCAAAGAGGTCTCTGTGTGTTTATAATTACTTTTTGTGAGATCACTAGTAAATATGTTGAGATTCCTTTAGATAGGTATTTGTTCATATTTTCTAATTTTGCATGTTCTGTTCTCCAACTTTTATTACATCATGCATTTTTCTTTTCCCAATAGAGCCTCTGTATTACTGGCAACAGACTGAAGATGATTTGACAATCACGATACGACTTCCAGAAGACAGTACTAAGGAGGACATTCAAGTACATTTTTTACCTGATCATGTCAACATTATGCTGAAGGGTCAGAAGTTTCTGGAAGGAAATCTTTTTTCATCTATTGATCATGAAAGCAGCACATGGATAATTAAAGAGAATAATAGGTATTTTTTTATTGTTTTATGTATATTTAAAATTTTATTATTCATCGTTTTAATTTTATTCTTTCCACAGTAGTTAGCTCAGAAGTGAATACTATAATTGGTCTGTCTGTATTGCTGATTATTTTTAAGGTGGATTAAAATTGGAATTATGTCAAAACATAATCGTAGTTAACATTAAAGATAATAATTATAGTTGTCGCTTGCATTACATGGTAGTGCTTTTCCTTAGCAGCTCTGGATACAATAATAATCATTTATAGGTGAAAATGGTTATTTTAATTTGCACTTTTTAAACTTTTTAATAGAGATAATGTTTTCTACAGCTTCTAATTTGTTGATTAGATAATACATTATCATTCTTTAAAATGTAAGATATATAAAGGGTGTGGTAAGTCTTCCTCCAACCAGGCCTTCTAAGTATTTTCTTTTTTTAACAAAAAAGTTTTCAACACATATTACACACTGTTTTACAGTTTGCTTTTGTTGACTTTAACAATAAATCTTGGAGAGCTTTCTATAAAAATGCATAATATTTTTATCCTATTTTATGGCTTCATAGAATTCTACTCTGTCAACTGTATAATCATTTTTAAAGAATGGCCCTCTATTGTTGGACATTTACATTGTTTCCACTCTTGGCTACAATTATAACTGTATATGTCTGTCTGTCTATCAATACCGTTTCACATGTGCAGGATACATGGACCATGTGTGTAAATACTTACAAGTGGAATGGTTCATACTTCTTTTAAAAATTGTGGATAATAAATATTTTCTTACGTAAATAATCCATTTACATTTCTTCTGTGAATTGTGTGTTCAGGACACACACATCCAAAATAAATGATAAATTCAATTTCAAACAAAGCTTTTCTGTACATCAAAACAGAGAGTTTCTTATAAAGACACCATTAAGAAAAGAGAGGCAAACCATGAACAGGGATATGGTATTCCTAGTGCAGATATCAAACATATAGGACTTATGTTCTTAATATATGAAGAAGCCCTATTACAAATTCATACTAAAAGATAACCCAGTTTTTAAAATGGCCAAATGAATTACAGAGACATCACAACAGACGATGTATAAATGCCTAGTAAGCACATGGAAAAATGATCATTAGTAGTCATTAGGGAAATACATATTAAAGCCAGATGAGACACCATTACATGGCAAAAGAAAATACTGACATTATCAAACTTTGGCAAGGATGTAGAGCACTGGCAACTTGTACTGTTTAGCAGGTTCTTACCAAGTTAAATATATATTGCTTGTTAGACAGACATTCTACTCCTAGATATTTACCCAAGAGAAATGAAATGCATGTTAAAAAAGAAAACAACCCCCTCCTCAAATGTGTGAAGGTATATTCATAACAACTTCATTCATAAAAGCCAAAAAATGGGAACAGCTCAATGATCATGAAAAAGTAAATGGATAAGCAAACATGGTAGTATATTCATACCATCGACTGCTACCCTGCAATTAGAAAAGAATGAACTACTGATAAACACGACAATATGAATGAATCTCAGAAACATTATGTGGAGATAAAGAAGCTGAAGACAGAGGAGGACACACTGATCCACCTTTGTAGAGTTCTAGAACTGGCCAAACTGTTCTCTGGTGATTGACATCATGGCAGTGCGTACCTCGAAGATGTTAGAGGACTGATTGGACAAGGACACGGGAACTTTCTGGGCAGGTTCAGTGTCTTCCTTGGGTAATACAGATGTATGCATTTGTAAAACTCAATCTTACACTTAAAACCTGTGATTTTTATCTAAATTATACCTCAATAAAAGGAGTATGTTTGGAAAAAAAGGTAAACAAAGACTCAAGGTCTTAGAAAACTATGATCAACTATAATCTGCCCCCACTGTCACGCCTCTTTGCATATTTGTTGTCACAGATACTTCATACCCCAGTCATTTGGATTAATAAAATTAATTCTTTTTCATTATATGTCACATTCTAGTAATGACTGAATTCAGTAATGGATTAATAAATAGTATTGAGAACTTAATTTTAAAAATGGTCAAATTTGGTCCGAAGTGGGTGTAAGTTACATATTTATACTCTAACATATAATTCTTAATAATATATGACCCATGTGAGTTTTTGGTATGAGTCAAAATCCTGGGAGTGTAAGAAATACATACCTAATTTAAATTTTTTTAAGCTTTAAGAGTAGAATTCATTTTATTAATGGAGAAATTTGATGGCTTGCTTACACTTTTTAATATATTCTTTCAAAAGCTCAGTTGTCTGAAATATTTTAAAAATATTTTGTACTTGCACATATTCTATTTAGACATACTTTGTGTATATGAGAGATTTGAGGGTAGCATTATAACATGGCAAATTAGCTAGAACATACTGTTAAATGTAACTCATTAAGCAGTAACTCACCAAAGGTCTCTGAGAATAGTGGGACTTCATGCGGATAGTTTCAGCATTTTATACATGAACATAGACCAGTATTGTTTTTCCATTAAATTTGATGTGCTTGATTACTATATTATGTTACAAAAGGTAATTACAGTGATGTGTAGGTGGGATCATTGGTTTAAAAACATATGACTTTATGTACTTGATTAAATTATTTGTATCTCATTTTCAAATAATGTTCCTTCTCTCATTGGAAGAAAAACTAGTCTACAGTATATTATGTATGGGGTTTTATGTTCCTTTTGGCTTGGATGAGAGGATTTGATACTAGAATTAAAATGTAGAAATGCAGTTATGCACATTAAATGATGGATCAGAATTTTTTTACAACTGAGATTATATGAACTCTTCCTAACTTCCATAGGTAGCAACCAACTAAGAACAGTATTTATGCATTCTGGTTACTGGATGAAGTTGATTAGGAGTTACATGTATTTTTGCAGAGAGGCAGAATAATGCAGTAGTGAAGAGCATGGGCTTGGAGCCAGACTGCTTTACTAGCTTGCGACCTTGGCAAGTTCTTAACCTCTCAGTGTTTTGTTTCCTACTTGCATAATGGAGATGTTAATACTGTGTACTTTATTTGGTTGTGGCAAGCAGTAAATGAGTTAAACATGTAAAGTGCTTAAGACAGCACCTGGAATATGGTAACCGCTGGGTCAGTATAAGCTGCTGTCATTATATTATTATCATTATTATTATTCATCAACATCATTATCAAGATTAGCTTTCTTTTTAGAAAATATAACTAAACCTGGGCATTATTTTCTGTGGTGGTAATTTTTAATGCTAATGATAGGAACTCATATTACATAAGAAAGATATTTTGTATAGTCTCTTAAAATAAGTAGTTTCAGATAATTTTGAAGTGCTGTAATTAATTCATGAGGTAGTGATAATAACAGCCTTGAAAAAGAATAGTTGATAAGTTTGCATGTTCAATTTGATAATTATTATAATAGTTGTTATTGTGTTCTTGAGACTCTTTGTTTGCAATTGTGTTTGAGGGCCTGGGTTAGTATGGCACACGTGTACCAGAGTGGCACGTGGAGAAGGTTGCTTTGCTGTGGAACAGCTACCGCCCCTCCACTTTTCTCTGTATTACAGCAGTGGCCGCTCCCAGGGTAACTTACTTGGATTGTCCTTCTTATGCAAGAGGCACATGGGCAACTCCCTGTCCTCCCCCGTCCGCCATCTGCCCTGCCTCAGCGCCGTCTCTCTGTACTGCTGCGTCAGACCTTAATCTCAGGATCCCTTGATAGGCCCTTTATATTGCATTTGGAATTTGTGTTTAATTGCTTAAATGTACAGAATTAGATTTTTAAATTGATAGAGATTATATTAACCACTTTCTTCATCTGTATTACCAAAGTCATTTCTTCTAATGCCTACATTTCTTTACAATTCTTTAAAATCCGTATTTTAAAAAATAACATTTGTATTGATTTAACTTGCCTGATCTTTCATTAATAATTATTATATATATTATGGTTACTAGTTTATGAAAACAAAGTTAATTGGCTCCACACACAGAGGTACCTTTAGTTATAGGCCCTTTCTAATTACCTTTATGTACCCACCCCCACCATTCCCCAGTGAAATAATCTCAGATATGCGCTGCTTGTACTTCTGTTGCTTAAGTTTGGTAACATCCCACACAATTACACAACAGCAGTACTTTCTGGATTGTCTTACTCTTTCCAGTTACTCCTCCCGTCAAGCCATTTGACATGCTATTCCCAGTGGTACTTTGTTTGTTTATTAAATCTAAGTTATTTACGCTTGGATTATAGATTTCCCATCATAAGCAAAACTAAAATCAACACAATATTTGTTAAAATAACTTCTGGATACCTGAAAGGTAATTTCAGTGGAAGATTCTTCTGTTTGCTATTGGTTGTATAATTTATATAGTTGCTTAATATGACGCTACTTTTCTCATTTAAACTTCTAGCTTGGAGATTTCCATCATTAAGAAGAATGAAGGACTGACCTGGCCGGAGCTAGTAGTTGGAGATAAACAAGGGGAGTATATAAGAGACTCAGCACAATGTGCTGCAATAGCTGAACGTTTGATGCATTTGACCTCTGAAGAACTGGTAAGCAATTGCAATAGTAGTTTGACTTTCCGAGGGTCAGAAATGTGAGGATTATGCCATATTTCGAAACATTATTTTGCTTTCCTAAGATAAAAGACACAAATTAAGTACTGCTGACTGGTGTTTGAATATGGCTTAAAATTTTTAGTAACCATTCCTTATACTCTGAATACCTATATGTGGGGGGGTGCATGTTTTGCAAGGTAGATGTGCATGTATTCCTGTATCTACCTACCTATGTACACAAGTGCACGTGTGTAATGACAGAGAAATGTTCTGAGAAGTGCTTCATTCAGTGATTCTGACATTGTGCAAACGACATAGAGTGTACTCACACAAACCTAGATGGTATAGACTACTACACACCTAGGATGCAAGCCTCTACAGTGTGGTAATGTACAAATCAACATGAGAGTAAATCACGCACCCAAGAAAATGATGCAATGAAGAGATACCTTAAGCATGAGATGTATGAGGCTGCTGCAGGCTTAATGTGGCATACTGCTTTATAGCAACTTTTTATAAGTGGAAACACTACAATCTAAAATAATTAAAAGTATAGTAAACTCATAAACCAATAACTTAGTCATTTGTTATCATTATCAAGTACTAAGTACTGTATGTAATTGCATGTGCTGTACTTTTATATGTCTTGGCAGCGCAGTAGGTTTGTTTACACCGGCATCGCGTGAAAACCTGAGTAATGCTTTCCATTGCAACCTGTGACAGCTACGGCATCACTAGGCAGTAGGAATTTCTCAGCTCCATTATAATCTTATGGAACCACATTGTGCGTGCGTGCATGCGTGCATGCGTGTATGTGTAGGCATACATATATTCTCCTTTAGAAAAAGAGACTGACCAGTGTTGCAGGAGCAAAAATCATGATTTTACTGCCTACCTTACTGACAACCTGCTTATCATTATTGAAATTTTCTGTGTGATCTTACAATATCGCTAGGGGTATATATATCACATACAGTATAATTAGTTTTGATTGGCAAAATAATTAAGTGTAACGATGACAGTACACTTCTGGCCATCTGAAATTATGATGATCAAGAAAGCTATATGAAGAAATATTTATACTGTATGGTTAGTTACATCCTAAGGTAGACAGGAAAGATTGGAATATTTGAAGTAAGTGTCTCTGTCAAAAGAACACATGGCCAAAATGGAGAAACCCAAGTTTGATGTTTGCCAGAAGTAATTTAAACATTTCAGGAATCATTGGGACTCATAAATAAGACTATGAAACTGACTTCATAGACCTGTTACAATAAGTCATGCAGTCTACATTGCCCTGTGTTTGTTCATTCAGCAAGTGTTTATTGTGATAGGGCTCTGGGGATATAATAGTCATCATCATGGGGGCTTGTTTTGAGGTCGTAGATAATTTCTGCTGCCTATTCACACTTAATGATGCCTGAACCTCAGTGTGTTCATTATATTTTGGAGAAGAAAAATGAACATAGAATCTTGTCATCTGCAACTGAGGTCAATTTTGTGTTTTTCAAATCTTTATACTTTTTCTTGCCTTACTGCATTGGTTAGAACCTCTACTCCACTGTAAGATAGAAATAGTGAGGAGAGAAAGCAGGCATTCTTACCTTATTTGTGATCTTGTAAAAAAGAATTGAATATTTCACTATTAAACATGATGATTCTTTTCATCACATTGAGCAAATTTCCTTTATTCCTAGTATATTGAGAATTTTTAGCACGAAAAGTTGTAGAATTTTGTCATATGCATTCATTTTATTAGCAGGATAAACCCCACTTGGTTATGATATATTCTTTTTTACATATTACTCATTTTGATTTGCTGGTATGTTATTGAGGAGTTTTGCATTTGTATTTGTGAAAAATATTGTCGGTAGTTTTTTGTATTCTTTTGCCTTTTTACTTTTTTTTTTAAATTTAGTTTTGGTATCTGGATAATGCTGACATCATAAAATGAGCAGTAAGGTGTTTTTTTCTTGTTTTAGTTCTGGAAGAAATTGTGTAGAGTTCGCATTATTTCTCCTTTAAATGTTTGATAGAATTTCCAGGGAAACTATCTGGGTTAGAGTTTTCATTTCTTTTTTTTTAATTCATAAATTTAATTTCTTTGATAGATATAAGATTATTTTGGGCATCTGTTTTCATTGATTTTTTTTTTCCAGTTTTCCATATTATTCATTTCTGTTACTACATTTTTTTCTGCGTTTTGCCTACTCCGAATATTTTTGCCCCCCTCCCACCCTTTTTGTTTAACTGAAAGCTTAGATGATTGATTTTTTTGCCTTTTCTGGCATGAAAGGATTTAATGCTATATATACATCCTTCTAAACACTATTTTAGCCACATCCCCCAAATTTTCAGTCTGTCTTCTTAATATCATTAGGGATTGATCTGACTTGAGACTGGATTTCAGCTTTTTCCATGGTTGGTATTTATTCCTTGTTTATTCTTACTCCTAGGGTGGAACTTTCATAAATCTTGACTGAAAGTCTATATTGTTTACCAAGGGCTTTTCCTCCTGTGTGGGACATAGTATTCTAATTTTTGTCTCCCAAGCTTCTTTGTTAATATCAAAGCTCAGCTTTTTAATCACTTTTCTGCTGATTTCCACCTGTATTTTTCAGTTCAGCTTGGAAATCAGTTTTTAAGTTATTGCTGTAGTATTAACATTTTTAAGTATGAAGAAATACATTCTCTTATTGTTTGTTTATATACTTATTTTATTTTCTGGTCTAAGAATCCAAATCCAGATAAAGAAAAACCACCTTGTAATGCTCAAGAATTAGAAGAATGTGATATTTTCTTTGAAGAGAGTTCCAGTTTATGCAGATTTGATGGCAACACATTAAAAACTACTCATGTGGTAAGTTCTTGATAATGACTTTTCAGAAAATTTGTGAAGTAGAAGTTACTCAGATGAAATGACAGTTGATTGAACAAATATATATATTTTGCAAAGATGGCTTGATTACAGGTCATAAAGGGGTAACCATTCATAGCACCATCCACAATTTAAATCCCCTTTTTACATGAAGCCTTTTCTATCATCAGGGGTACTCATCTAATAAAGAGGTACAAAGGACAGAAGTCAAATGAATAGGTCATGGACTAAGTCATGAAAAATTGATTTCGTCTTTGTATTCTCATTAGTACTGTTTGTAGTTATTGCCTATTATTTCTGTTTTACCTTCGCCTTCAATTTTTTTTGTTTCATCTTTACTAATTGCTGTCTTGTTTTAGTTTTTTTTTTTTTTTTACTGTTGACTGTTTCATATATTACTGCTATTCTTTGTGAAGAATTTTTAAATTTGTTTTAGTATTTGTCATTGATGTGTGTGACGTGTTATAAGCTTAGGAAACTCTTCTATATCAAGTGATTTAACTGTTTCCTGTTCTTTTCTCTGTTTTGGAATTTTTATTCGTTTCCTTAATTCATATGGGATTTTTTTTTCCTCTTTAGTATGCCATAAATATATAAATTGCTTAATTTTTCCCCCTTAGAATTGCATTCTGTTCAAAAGATTTAAGAGCAGTGCATCAAGGTGCTGAAGAATGCTGTCCACACTGGCTTGGTGTACTTCCTGCATTCCCGGGTGTGGTCCTCCGCTTTGCAGATGTAGATTTTTTTTTTTTTAATTTAGAACTTTTTAGATATATTTGCTTAGGGGAATCATTAATCATTACTTAATACAGTATAACCACAGGCATGTTTCATAGAGTTGTTCATGTGAGAAGGGTCCTCATAGTAATCCAGTGGCTCATTTAGAGCTTTGCATGTAGAAATTAATTTAGTCTTATTACTAAAACCAGAAGTGTTTTGCCTCAGGAGTCACAGTACAGACAAAAGCACTAGAAAAGAGAAAACAATTTGGTCTTTTGGTATTTTGTTTTTAGACTTCTAATTTCAAGAAAATTCTTTAAAATTTCTGCCAAGTTTGGCCTTGTGTGTTTCTTTGTCTTATAGAGGTTGAAGTGAAAGCGAAGTGTAGCAAAAATTTGTAGAACCAAAGTGTAGAACCAAAGTCAGAAGTGCCATGGCAACTTGATTTAACAGAGCTAGCTGTTCCTTTCACTCACCAAACTTTCCTAATCTTTTCTGGACACTTAACTTTCTTTAACTAATGGCTGGTTATTACAGCACTCAAAGGACTTATAAAAATGAACACTTCTAGATCACATACCTACGTAGACAAATGAGATGGAGTGGCTAAAGACCAGTGGCTAGTCAGAGTGTCATTAAAGCTGTACCAGAATTAAAAACTTACTCTTATAATTTCTATATCTGAATGTCTCTCTTTCCCTCCACTCACATTTTGTTTTGATATCACAATTTACATCTTTTTATCTCATTTATCCCTTAACAAATTATTGCAGTTATAATTTTTTTACTATTAATTTTTGATTTTTATACTAGCTTTATAAGTGATTAACCCACCACCTTTATAATGTTAGGTTATTCTGAAAGTTACCATATATTTACCTTTATTGGTGAGATTTATACTTAGATTTAACATTTCTTGTAAGGCGGGTCTGGTGGTGATGAACTCCTTCAGCCTTTGCTTGTCTGGAAGGTGTTTTAGTAGGCCCCTAGATGTGTATTAAATAACGAACAAAAGGGAGAAAGGACTCAGGGACGTGGACAACAGTGTGGTTTTTGCAGCGGGGAAGGGAGAAGGGGATTAAATGTTAATGGAAAAAAAATACAATAAAAAAATAAATTCATTAAAAAAAAATTAGATGGCTGCATTTCAAGCCAGTGCTTTAAGATAAACAAATAAGCACTTCACAGAGAGTTTAGGTGCTTTGCAGTCGGCTCCCTCTACATGGAGCTTGGGGTGTGAGTCCACATAGAAGAACGCTTTAGGAACTGTTTCTCAGTTCATCCTAGCCTTGTAGGTTTCCTGGATGCCAGCCCCCTGTGGTTTTCAAAGCTAAATGGTGTAGGGCCTCGTCTTTCAGATGTAAGTCTTAAAAGTTGTAGTACCCGATTTGTGGGGTTCAATTCATTGCTCCTCAGGGAGAAGCTCAGGGTTTTGTGTTCCTTTCCAATTATGGGTCATCGCGCCAAGGTGGGGTGGGATTTTCTAGTCCCCCTGGTGTGTGAGTTGCTCAGCTAGTTTTTAGGGTTGTTTTTGTTGTTGCTGCACTTGTTGTTTTTAAGAGGAAATTGATCCATATATAGCTATAGATTTGGTGTGTCCAGAAGAGGAGGTTGAGTTCAGGATTTTCCTATATCAGCATCTTGACCTGGAACCTTGTAAAGGCTCTAATCTTTGTTTCAGTTGTATTATATTCGAGACCAGAGTTGTTTTTTACAATATAAGAACTTTCATTTTTTTATTATTAGTCATTTTTTTTAAATAAATAGAAGTAAAGATTCAGTGAAGTTAAGTTGCACAAACATTGCTGTTTGGGTATAATTGGAATAATTAGCTATAAATTGAACAGCTCCAATAATGTAGTAAGCCCATCTTTTTTCTAAAGGCATATTTGGTTTATCCATGTATTGTATGAAAGTCAAGTCTACCTGGTCAGATAGTTTCCTGGTGTTCTCAAGAGGGTATGAGTTGGCTTGTCATTGGAGGAAAGGAATGAAGGAGGCTGTAATATTTTGGAGGTTCATTGCCACATCCACTTGAGGAATCACGTAGTACTTTATCTGCAGTTTGTACTTCTTTCTGCAGTGTTTGCTTCAAGTTCTCTTTTCTTGATTTCATTTGTCATGACTTTGGATAATTTAAAATTACCTGGCTATGGAAAGGTCAATCAATATATATACTTATAGTTTTAGGGAAGAAATACAGTAGCAAAAAGGTCAGAACTCTATACTGTAAATGACAGATTTTTGAAAATGTAAAATTCCCTGAAAGAAATGTAAATCAGTGTTAGAACTTGGCATTTGGAAAGTAAAATTTTAAGTGAATATTTGCAGCAGCACAATAAAATAGAAATATTAAATATCAGAACTGAAGAGGAAAAGTAATAAGATATGGACACGGGGGTGTAAAGCTCAGATCAGAATTTAAATGCCTTTGAAGATGAATTACTTTTGCTTCTATCTAGAGCTTTACTAGATATGTTTTGTATTTGATAAAATATTAACCACTGGCCATGTAGTAGCTTTTGAGCACTTGAAATGTGGCTTTTCTGAATTGAGATGGCCTGTAAATGTAAAATACACAACCAGATTTTGAAATAGCATGAAAAAAGAATAAACTATATTAGTAACTTTTATATGAATGTTTATGTTGAGATGATATTTTGGGCATGTTTTGTTAAATAAAATTTATAAAAATTTACTGTTTTTTGCTTTTTAATGTGACTACTAGGAAATATAAAATTTATGTATGTTCCTTGCATTTTATTTCTGTGGGACAACATTGGTCTGTAGTGATCAAATTAAACATACACTTGAGCAGCCACAAGGTGATAGAATATTTTAAAAATTTAAATTACGTTGAATTTCTCAAATCACACATATTCATCATATACTGCTTAAAGTATGAGATTGAAGCAGCTGAAAAGAATATTTGCAACTTTTATACCTGAATAGAGGATTTACAGACAGGAAATAATTCTTTAGGTTACTGTCATTTTGAAAGCTAGTAGAAAAGTATATACTAGATATATTACTTTTTTTCCAAAAAGACATAGGATAGGATGAGAAGATGTAGAGGAAGAAAATACTTTTAGAAAGTATTTAAGCCAGTGGTTCAAGCTTTTTGGTCTCCGGGACCTTTACATTCTTAAGTTCCTTGGGGTACGTAATCTTTTTGTTTGTTTTGATTTACCTATCAAATTTGACCATATTAGAAATTAAGCTATAGAGTAATTTCTCTGCTAGGGCTGCAGCCAAGTACTATAGACTGGGGGGCTTAATGACGTAAATCTGTTCTCAGTGCTGGAGTCTGGACGTCTGCGATCAAGGGGTTAGCGTGACCGGTTTCTTCTGAAGCTTCTCTCTCTGACTGTAGATGGCTGTTGTCTCCTTTGTACTTCCATGGTCTTCCCTCTGCAGTGTGTTCCCCGTGTCTGTGCCCTATCACCTCTTATAAGGGCATTAGTGATATGGATTTGGACCCACTCTTATGACCTCTTTTTACTTCTTTCTCCAGATACAGTCACATTCTGAGGTACTGGGGGTCAAGACGTCAATGTATGAATTAGGAGGGGGTATAGCGCAGTCTATAATAATATCCTTCATTTAGATTTTAGCAAATGTTGACATTTTGCCATATTTAATTTCTGTTTTTCCACCTCCCTTTTGCCGAAACATTTAGGGGTGAGTTGCACATGCCATGTCCCCTTTACCCCCAATTTTTAAAAAAATATAACCACAATACAATTCAGGAAATTTAACTTTGATATAATACTTTATATAATATGGAGGCTGTATTTAAGTTTTACCAATTGCTCAAATAAAGTACTTTATAACAATGTTTTCCCCTGGTTGGAGATTCAGTCCCATGTCACTTACTGCATTTTGTTGTGATGCCTCTTTAATGTCCTTTAATTTGGAACATCCAGTTACCCAGCCTTCATGACACTGACTTTATTTTAGACCTTTTACAGACCATTTCCAGTATTTCCTCAAGAGCAGGAATCACTTCTTGCATTTTTGCTGGGAATACTACATAAATATTTCCTTTCCAGTGAATCACAATAAGAGGAACTTGGTAGGTTTTGCTATTTTTTTCTTCCACTATTGTGGTGTTAAATTTAATTACGGGGTGTTCCCCAGGTTTCTGTGCTGTAAAGTTATCATCTTCCCCTTTCAGTCACTAAAGTAATCCTAAGGTTTTAGTAGGTTTTGTCATTTCTCTCTTTTCTTTCTTTGCCTTTCTATCTGTCATATTTAGAAAA